TCGCTGTACCTGCCTCGTCAGATACCCAGGTCGCAAACAAGATGTCACGTCACCGTCGCGATTGCGGTCGCTGTACCTGCCTCGTCAGATACCCACGTCGCAAACAAGATGTCACGTTAGCGTCGCAATCGCGATCGCTGTATCTGCCACGTAAGATATCAAGGTCCACCGGTCTTCGTTGTCTTCAACGTGATGGCACGCATACTTCAATCAGGTAAGTATCCCTTTTCCTTCCACTTACCTTGTGCCACCTGGCACTCTTCTCGCACGTGCACGGTCGCGACAAGGTCGCGATCAAGATGAATGCTCCGATACCAATCTGCAATGAACCCAAGTCGTGGATACAATGTCGACACTGAAAGCCAAGATTATCGAACCAATGATAGATCTTCAACGACAATAGTATCCAGTAAGAGAGTGGGGGTGAGATAATCATACACGGACGAAGAGAGGTGGGGGAGATTAGACAAGGGAGAGGGATAAGGCCCACTCCTTCTCCGGGCTCCTCCTACGACAGCAACCCCACATCAGCAATGATCTGAATACAAATTAGAGACTCAGCCTCCGGGTGCCACGTGGCACCGATCAATACATTAATTAGCGTTGGAGCCTCGTCGTCATGAAGACATCAGGTACGTATTCACAACACCTCACAAGTCCTGATCTCATCCCGAATAGTCACGACCCCTCCTTGAAGTAACGAAGCCGATGATCAATAGCCGGTCGTAAGGATCCGACAGTACGACACGTGGCAACGCCACGTCAGCAGCAGTACGTGGCGACTGCCACGTCAGCAGATCAGAGACAGTCGCCAGCCAGATAGCAAGCCAGCCAGCAGTAACTCACCATGTCAGCAAATGCCGGCCTTCCTCCAGTCTCGCAGCGTCAAACCAAGGCTGCGAGAGTCGGGCGCTGAAAACAGCGTCAACGCAAGACAACCAGAATCCCCAAAGTCAAGGAGCCAATGCTCTTATAGTGTTGACTCGGGGTCTGATCCCCGGTAGTATCCAACCTCAGCCGTCCAGATCTCCCTGCCTGGAGGGTCTGGATAGATCTGCAACTGTATCTTCTTTGGCCTGGGTCGTAGTCTGGGTACCTGCACTCAACAAGTAAATGAATCTGATCCGAGACCTGGCATGGTACTTTGACTGACAGTTGACTTTGACCTTTGATTTTCCCACAGCCGTACGCAGTTTACTCAGGCCGAGGCATGTGTTGGTTACACAGCCCGGCGCAGTCTTCCACAGACTGCGTGGCCTGGGGCTAAGGTTTGGGCCCCAGGTCGACTGCTGAACAGGGTTATTACAAGTACACGAACTGCAATGAGGTCTGATCTGGAAGCAAGGAAGTCGCAGACTGATGCAAAGATCCATGTCACAAGTTTTTGCTCCAGTAAGTCCGCGAGTTGGGATGCTGGCCGATGAAACAGCATGGTGGCCAAACCAGCTGCATAATCTCCATGAACAGTGAGGCAACAGGCCATCGTCCTCGTGCGCTTGCCATTAGATCCTTTATCGCCAGCGTCACGCAGGTTCATAAGCATTGGACAAGAGAGACAAGGTAGTGGAGAGGACAGACGGGACAAGGCTAGGCGAGGGCAAGGGCAGATCAGACATCAGGAATCGGGGTCGAGGGGAGGGTGGACTGGGTTCAAGGGTGTGTGTAGAACAGGGTTGCGAGGTTGTAGTAAGGTTTATACAGGGGTTTAGGGTTGATGTTACGTGGGTGTCTAGGACATAGGAGTAGCACGATCGTAGGCGCGAACAAGTTTCATGGCATTCTTGATATTCGAGAGAGGTTCCCATGTAGATTCTTCGTCGGGGTATCCGGTCCATTCGACTTGTATTCAATGATTGGTTCCGGGTGGTCAGATACCTGAGTAGTTCGTCAACCTATGATCGCTTCAACAACGAATTCAGGGCCTGTGGGTAACATGATAGGTGGAGGTCTAGGATACGGGCGGTCAGCGAATTGGGGTGGGGATTCATGATATTCTTTCAAGTATTCGACGTGGAAGACAAGGCGGATGCGGCTCATGTCGGGGGGAAGTTGGAGTTTGTAGTTGACGTTGGAGGTTTTTTCAATGATGGGGAAGGGTCCGAGCCATTTGTTCGAGAGTTTCTTTGACAATCCATGTTCGGGTTCAAAGCGTTTGGCGGAGAGCCAGACTTTGTCCCCTACTTTGAATTGCAAGTCTCATCTGTGTTTGTTGATCTTGTTGGCTTGTTGTTCTTGTGTTCTTTTGAAGCCTTTGGTTGCTTCTCTGAGGAGTCGATTCATTGTTGCTACCCATTCATTGAGGGAAGGGCAGGGTGTGGAGGGGTTGAGTTTCGAGGGAAGCAGGAAATCAGAGGGCAAGCGCGGATGGTAGCCAAGGTCAAGGTAGAATGGAGACATGCCAGTGGAAGGATAGACAACGTTGTTGTAGGCGATCTCGGCGGCGGTGAGCAACTGATCCCAGTCGTGTTGATGTGGATGACAGTACTTCCGTACGATTCTTTGGAGAGTATCGTTCATCTTCTCGGTTTGTCCATCGGTCTGTGGTGGAATGCAGTGCTTTACTTGAGTGTAGTTTCGTAGGCATTGAAGAGTTGTTTCCAGAATTGTGAGAGGAAACGGGGATCGCGGTCGCTGATGATATTCTCGGGGAGGCCGTGGTGGCGTGCAACATGGTTGAAGAAGAGTAAGGCGATGTCTTTGGCGGTGTGCGAGCGCGTTTGGTCAGGCGGCAAACAATGACGCAGATGCAATCATGTCCGCGGTAGGTCTTAGGGAGGCCGCACACGAAGTCCATGGAAATGGACTGCCACCGGTGAGTGGGGATGGGCAATGATTGGTGCTTGCCAGGTTTGGCCCGGTTCGAAGGATTGACAACCTGACACGTGGGACATGAGCGAATGTATGTTTTGACGTCAGCGAGTAGAGACGACCAATAGAAGTAGCGGGAGATGGTGTCGAAGGTTTTCAGGAAACCGAGGTGACCTGCGGTCTTGGCATCGTGGTGCTTGGCCAAGGGCTGGGTACGGAGACCACGTGTGTCGGGGATGCACAGTCGACAAGTGCCTTTGGTGTCGATGTAAAGGAGGTTGTCGTGGAGGGAGTAGCAGGGGACTGGGTCAAGATCGCGGAGCTTGTTGTAAATGGCGGTGAAGTCTGGGCAAGAGAGGTAGCCTTGGGTGTATCGGTGGAGTGATGGGAGGAGCTGGATATGGGTCATGGCGGCGTAGACTGTGTCGCCTGGGGGTCGTCCGATGGGATGTGTGTCACCGGAGGGGGGGTAGGCAGACGGATAGTCGATGCTAAGTGGGCCACCGGTGGAGGAGAGAAGTCATTGATGGGAGAGCCGACAGACAAGTGGTCGATGCCGGGGGAGGGTTGCAAGAGTCAGGGGGACAGTGTTCAGGTGGAGGGCCCAAATGTCGCGGTGGAGGGAGAAGTGGAAGTAGAAGGGCCGGGTCCCGCAGAGTGAGGGGCCTGTCGAGTAAAGCGGCTATCGTTGGGGCAGTTGGTCTGTTGATGACCTAACTGGCGGCAGCGAAAACATTCGTTGTGTTCCTGGAGGTATATACGTTCTTCGGGTGTGATTTTCTGAAGGCGACGGGGTGGAGAGGAAAAAGGCGGTCGGGAGGCACAATCCTGGCATTCCATCCTCATAAGGTGGGCGGCCTGGCCTCAATGGTGAATTGGGAGGAGTCGAGAGAGGCAGTGTCGAAGTCGTCATCGGAGGTGAGTGGAGTGGTGTCGTCAGGGGTGATGTTATGGAAGAAGTGGGGGCGGGAGGGAGCGGGCGCGGACTGGTGATGGGGGTGGAGTCGATCGTGGTGAAGCATGCGAGAGAGGAGGTTAGCAAGGGGCATGTCGGGTTCGTGGGCGAGGGCGGTTGCAAGATCTTTGTGGCATACTCGCTTGATGCGGGAGATGAACGCAAATTCGGGAATGACGGTGGTGGGGAGGTGATGGCGGAGGGAGCAGATGTATTGGACAAAGCGGTTCGTGGGACCGGTCTGGCGGAGGTGACAAAATTGTTTGAGGTAGTCATCGATGGTTTTCTAGGGGCGGAAGGTGGCAATGAGAAGGTTGGCCCATTGGAGAAAGGAGTGACGCGGTCCTCCGGAGGCGCGACGGTTGCTGACTTCGGCCATCCACCATTTGGCGGCATTGCCGAGGAGGCGGGAGGTGGCGATGGGAAGCCAGTGGACAAGGGGCATGTGGTGGAGCTTGAAAGAGTTCTAGAGCTGGGTAAGGAAGAGGAAAACATCCTCATGGGGAAGGCCGGAGAAGGGCATGATGTCGGCGGATCGGAAGGAACGGGGAATTTCCCCTTCGCGGGAAACGATCCGGGCGAGGGCGTTGAAGCTGGTAGTGTCGTAGCAGGTGCAATCGAATTGGCTGTTGTCATCAAGGAGGTAGTTGGGGGGAAGTTGTGGCATTGCGGGGTAAACCCCGGAGGTGACTTGGGAATAGGTGGGACGAGGGTGGGGATGGTGGAGGTCGTCATGATGGGTTGTGAGATAGTATGGGAGTGCTGGGGGGGAAGAGGGTTGACGTGGTTAGGCAAGGAATGCGGCGGTGTGCTGGAAGCGCCGGATGAGGGGGGGGGGGGGGGGGAGGAGGCAGAGGTGGTGGATGTGGTGGTAGAGGTAGTAGGAGTGGAGGAGGTCGACGGGGGTGTGTGGCTGGAGGCGGTTGTGGACGTGGGGGTGGTGGTGGTGACCACCTGGATGGAGGGGGTAGTGGTTTGGGACTCGAGGGCGGTGGATGTGGGCACGGTCGTAGAGGTGGGTGTCGTGGTCGTGACCACTGTGATTATCGGGGTTTGATGCTCGATAGAGGTCACACGATTGGATAGGTCAGAGATAGTGATTTCAATTTTGGTGATGGACCCGTGGATGTCCGTTTGGAAAGAGGACATCATGCGAATGAGGGTGGCGATATCGGTGGCAACGGGCTCGGATCTTTGTTCGCCCATAAGTTCGCGAGCGAGGCTGTCAACAGACTGGGTGTTGACGGTGGTCATATTGATGCTGGAGGATTGGGCCATGTTGGGGGAAGATGGAGTGGATGCGGTGGCTGAGGCGACGGCTGCGGATGAGCTCGAGGCAGACGCGGCGACAGCGGCAGCGGCTGCTCGTTGGGAGGTCTTGGTTTGGCGTGGTGGCATGTGGAGATTTGGGAGTGGCAAGGGGTGGGGGTGGGGAGGGTATTTATAGCATTAATTGATTTATTCAAAACTAAGTAAAGGTATTTGCCAAAAAAATAAATGAATAAAATGGGAATTAATTTAAAATAAATTATTCCAATTTGGAGTAATTTATTCGAGATTAATTCGAAAATTTGAGAAGGATTTCACGGCAGAAAAGTTAGAAACACAAAATTTTCAGGAATGAAATAAATGCTGAAAATATCAAAAAAAAAATTAATTTCGAAAAAATCAATTCTGGTTAAATTTATTCGAAATGAATTTTGGGGTATGAAAAGCAAGAAATTTCAAAAGGAATTAAGTAAAATATTCCAGAATTTCCAGAATTTCGAAAGAGAATTTATTAAAATATACGAGAAAAGGAATTAAGTAAAATTATTTTTGAATTTCGAAAAAACAAAGAAATATCGAAAAGGAATTTAATTAATTCTAACGTCTTTTCAAAATTTTCGAAAAAGAATGAATGAAACATTGAAAAGCATGGCTACGCCGGATCCAGACACAGACATTTCCGGACATGGAACTGGACCCGTGTCCGGTAGTTTCCGGACGTCTTGAATTCTGGACATTTTCGAACCTCCGGACATGGGGGATCCCGACGGCCCGGATGTGTGGACAAGACCGGAAATGTCCGAACCATTAAATAAAAATAAAAATAAAAAAATCTGAAAAAAAGTATGCTATGGAAAATAACAATGCAAACCACTTTTGCCTTAGAGTCATGTCATAATTCCTAACCAAACTTGAGTTACAAGTCAAAAACTATAAAAAAGCTTTTAAAAAGACTATAAAATTAATAAAAGGTAATGAATTATTAATAATTAAAAAATTGGGGTTGTCTAATAAATTATTATAGAGAGAGAGCATGTGTGGACCCCCCCAAAAAGCATAAACGGGCCTGAAAAACCCCCAAAATAATTTTGGGGGCTTGGCTCCTCAATGGGGAAGGGTCCTGGACCGTTTTTATTTGTTTTTTTTTTTCTTGAATTTTGGCAGATCCTGACCTTCTTAACCGGACGTCTGGAGTCCGGACTGAATCCAGACTGTTTGGACGGTGGTCCGGACGTCCGGATCGTAGCCATGTTGAAAAGTAGTTTCTAATTTCAAAGGAATGTCGAAAAAGAAGAATTAATTCTCCGTATTTCGAATTACGAAAAGAAAGAAATGTTGAAAAAGAATTTAATTAATTTTAAAATATTTTTGAATTACAAAAATTTTGAAAAAGAATTAATTAAAATTATTTTCGAATTCCGAGAGAAGAAATGCCGAGAAAGAATGATTAATCCTACGTATTTTCAAAATTTCCGAAAAAGAAAATATTTTTGAAAAAGAAATGTCAAGAAAGATAGTTAATTAAGTATTTTCGAATTTACATGAATTTCAAATGAGTGCAAGGAACATGAATGTGCATGAAGCATAGAAATCCAAATCGCAAAATCAAACAAAAGTCTAAGTACTCAAAGCAAGAGCAGATAGCACAATGGTACCAAGTAACCATCCATTTCAGAACGATACAACACAATCGTGAGTCAATGTCCAAGCCCAATCGGGCAACACCAACAGCATAACCCAATGTAGCTCTCTCTCTTGAATGGCGCCA